GACCAAAGGTAGCAATAGGGAGTAATCTTCCAGTCCATCCGGCTCTACAAGGAAGATCAGCATCCAGCGATCATGTTGCCTTGTCGATTCATTCAGAAGGGGAAGAAGAACATGATCTACATATCCCTGGCGTAGACTCCCAGGTATCTTATCACGGGCGGGTCACGGTAAACAGGAAAAGTAACGGGCGATTCGAGTCAATGGTAGGAAGTGGCCCTCCTTTTTCAGCATTGGCCCAGTCGGCTTCGGAATATGTCGCATACTCACTCGGTCCAGCTGCAACAGCATGAAATGGTGCAACCGTGGCGTAAACGTCGGCGGACGCTTTGCCATCCAAGCGCACACTTTTGTTAAGTAGCTCAAACAAGGCCGCAATGACAGCGTGTCGTACATCAATATGAGTATGTGTAAATAGTTCCGCCAGAGTCTGAAGCGAGGTTCTACTTGAAAAGAAGCCCGCGTCTGAGATGAGCTGGACCAACAATTTGATGGTTGTGATCTTAACGTGCTTGGTTGCGTTCGATTCCTCGCTAGGGGGTATAGGCTGCAAGGTAGTGTCATTAGAGACCTGATCACCTTGCAACCGTTTTTGTTGCCACTTCCTATGAGAGTCAAGGACAAATGACGAGATCTTTGCGAACAAGTTCTCTGCAACCGCATAGTCTAGATTTTTCACCAATCCCATGGACATGACCAGACGATGCCATGATGAAGCATCTGGCATACTCTTGAGAATGTGGATATCAGCGTCAATGGCTAGCTCCGGCCGATCGCAGTTTGCCATCAGCGCAGCCAACCTGCACGCAGTTGACTGTAAAACGCCAAGGTCCCTGGGGTTTGACACCTTTCCAACCTTGTTCAGCAATGATGATGACAGGTCTCGCAAAATCTCAGCCGGCACAAGAGTGACTTGCTTTCTCAATACACCCAATGCCGCGGACACGTCCATCGGACTTTCTTTAACGGCAGAAAGAAAATCGTAGTCCAAGTATACAGCTGGGTAGCGGGGAGGACTGGAATTTTCTGGGAATGGCTTGGAAAGGATGCTGGAAGAGTCTCCTCCAAGCGTATCCAAAAACAGTAGCGCAGAAACGATAATTGCTTCCCGATGTGATAACGGGAGCTTGGATAGATTGCCGTTGGGTCGCCATATGTCCAAGACATCGGGTTCGCGCCCTTGAAATGCATACTTCCTAGGTTCTTCAAATGAGGTATAAAAAGTATGGTCAAAATAATTATATGTCATTTCCGTTGAGAGCCGACAACCCAAAATAGTGAGCTGATCGTCGTCGTCGTCTAACTCGATACCTGACGAAGAATCTGACATTTCCGGGTAAGGGTTCCATTCGATAGGTCCAGGTGCCGTCGAATCTGGTGATAGCGGCAACATACATGGCACCGGTTCTGAATGTATGGCTAATAGTGCCTTTTCCTTCTTCGAAAGTTGATTCCGATATTTGTGTAAAAAATGCTGTTTGATTCTTTTGATGCATCTGCTTTCGGTAGGAAGAATACGGGTATAATGATCCAGGATTTGAAGTATCCTGTCAGATTGTTCACGTTTTGACGAATCCGTGCAAAAGGCATCGATCAGAAAAGGCAAGCTATCGACGAATCGCCCTATGGTGGATGTTTTTCGGGGAATTTTGGAGAGAGCCGATTTGGGTTCGCAAAATAATACCTCTTCGAAACGGGCCGCCAGATATGGTGCAGCATCCTTGTGTCTAAACACGGCTGAGGCCCATGTATCAGGTAGAAGTGACTGTACTGGCAAGCCTTTCGGCCAGCCGGGGCTCAATGACTCCAGCCCCGGCTGTCTAATAGCCCGTTGTTTCGCCCATAGTTCATCCCGCTGGCGCGCTAATTTGTCAAAAAATCTTAATGCATACTGAGGAGTTGGAGTCGTGTGCTCCAAAAAATAGAGAGGTCCGCCCATGCTATGCCAGTTAAGAGACTCATTCCCCACTGTGATTGAGGCTGTCTCGTACTTCATTAGTATCGGTATCATGGAATCGAGTAAAACTTCAGCTAGAGAGTTTTCATCGGCAAGGCCTAGCTTGCAATAGAGCTTGACTCCTTTAAATCTTTTTGGAACGACGTTTTCGAGTTCGCAGCCAGGGTTTTCAAAATGGTGGCTGTTAAAGCTTGGCTCTTGCATAGCTAGAAGTGCCGCGTCAATATGAGTTGAGAGTACGATGTTCGCCTCATGTACACATTCCCTAAGGGCAGCAAGAGATTTTGGGCGGCGGTTTGGAGGAAAGGCAGAGCACGACAGTAAAGGTGCAAAGTGGTGGCCCCATAGATCGTTAGACAGTTGACGATATACGAACTTTAGGATGGATGTCAGTAATTCTATGGAGTGGCAGTTTGGATAGGTAAAGGAATTGGGACCTAACTCACAGGATCGCGCACAAATCTAGATGCCCAGTTGCTTACCCCTTTCAGAAGCTGTATATTTTTGCTTTCACGGACGATTTCAACTGCCCCTTTGGCCCACGCTAATCGCGGAACCTCATCGCGCTCACGCTCCGCTTTTGCTTTGACTTCTGCCAGAACTGAAACCACTTTATTAGACTCCATCAACTATAAGCCTTCACAAGGGGCTTCCTTACATTGATTGGCGATTGGCGCATTGTCGTTGGACAGTTCGTTTTGCGCTTCCCATTTAGTTTTCAACAGCCCTATATTGTACCAATTCGAATCCCCCAAAATATCACCCGATCCCCAACGATAGCGGAAAGTGATAGTACGACGGACAAGACCCAGACCATCAATCCGTTCAAATAGCCACCTAGAATCGTCCACCGGAAGACTCTTGATAAATTCGCCGTTCCAACGAAAATGACGCCATTGTTCTGCAGAAGCAGGGGAAGCATCCAAGTCGATCTGAATACCAGGAGCATAGAGAGAGAAGAGTTTTGTGAGTTTTAGTTTATGAATGGCACTATCCAGATGGCGGAATAATGTCATCAGCGGCGAGTCGGGAGTTGTAATAGAAGAGGGAGTGATTGCGTCATGTGGAAGGGCTTGAATCAAATGTATAATGAGACTCTGCAAGCTTTCATTGTCACTGCTATTAGGTCGAGAAGGGCGGTCGAGGAGATGGTTATCCACATGACCAGGGCTTTGTTCGGCTGACAAGGCCCATAACTGGGCTAGTAGCGCAAAGAATGGATGTGAAAATGGAACCAATCTTTTACTTCGAGTTGGGGTTAGGTCTGCGGCCGTCCGGAGTAATGTCAAAATATCACTAAAGGGAGTTCCCTTGTCACGAGCATCGGATATGGAACGCACAACCCAGTTTAAAATCAACTCATTCGACAACTTGCTTTCCTCAATGGGTTCGGTGCGAAGGGAGTGAATCAAGTGTAAACAAAAGCATAACCCCGGGGTTGCAAATTCGGAGACCTGCAAACTGGAAATCGGCTGCATAGGATACGGCTCAAATGACAAGAAAAGCTCTGTCGGGAGACGTTTCAGTAACTCCAGCCGAGTCGACGCATCCACTGTCACCGCTCCGGTGGCTATCTGCCGGAGAAGATTCGGTCGACATTTTGCAAGTACTTTGAAGAAGCTCAGTAACGGCGAAGGCGAGTCATACGCGGACACTTCCAGAAGGAAGGACTCGCTGCACGCTTGAAGGAGCGGGTGTACATCGCCGAATGGGAGCCGTCTGGGACTTCGATGGAGCTGCGTGCCCTCTTGGAAGATTGAGGGGTCGAACAACAAGGCCTGAACCAGCTTATCGACCTCTTGCGCATAAGCAGTCTTTTGTGACATTCCCTCCCCAACTATCCTCGCCAGCGACTTGACCTGGGCAGAACCCACAGTCTGGAAGATCTCGAACAAGCCCGCCGCACCGCCAACTGCATCCCAGGCTTCTCTCTTCCAATACGGCTTGCGGAAAGCTCGAGACAAGCGTTTCAGGCCGGCCTTGCGAATATATTGCGACTTCGGATCCAAAAGCACGGGCTTTAGCAGGTGCGGGGAACGATGTAGGATCAAAGACAGCCAAACGCCGAAGATTGACGGCGGAATCGCAGCATCGTGGACTTGCGTAATGATATGAGCGACGATTCGTTCTTGCTGCTCAATCGTAACGTTCTCTGTGATCGTGCGGTAGTAATCGTGAAGCTCAGCCGGGCTCATTTGGATCAGGGCCCGTGGCACAAGCTGCGGTAGGACCTCCATCATGGACACTCAATGGCTCTGCCAGTCAATTAGATGGACTTGATAAAACCTGACGGTACTGACTGTCGCCAGGCTGTCAATCTGTGCAGTTCCTGAGTTGACAGAAGCGAGCGCGCCGCGGTCTCTTTATTCCTGTCTGACTGCGCATCCCCAAGACTGGCTAACCTGGTTGGGAGCCCGACGGTCAAGTTGTTAGCCGGGCATGGTGGCGGTGGACTCCTTCGTCTCCAGCGATGATTCACCTCAAGGCTCGTTACCCTGTAACTTGTTAACTAGGGAGGACCTTGTAACTAGTTAGTGCGCAGTCTGGACTCTGGAGTCTGGTAGACCGAGGTCCCGTGCTCAAGGAAATCCAAGATCCCTGCGGAAAGCAATAGAGGATAGAATTAGAGGATGACTCGAATATTGCGGCGGGATGATAACTGTAGCAGCGTTTTGATCAGCATTGCACCATGCTTAGTGCAAATATGAGCTTATGTAATGAATCTAAAGGCGCTGGTTGGTTCAAAGCAATTTAGAGCGATTAGTGGCGTGGTTGTAATCTGTGGTTAAACAACATTGATACCTACATTCTTCATCGCCGGCATGCTCAAAAGAAGAACATTGCAGGAAATGAGAAAAGACCTGGTTTGGGACCGCTGCTACAGAGAGAATACAGGCACTTTTATGTGCCAATCCCACCACTCTGGACGACGGGCCGTTGGCACCACAATCGACCCCGGTTTTATCCCTGGAGTCCCTCAGCACTGTTCGATGCGATGCTTCAGCCCAAATTCCAAGGAGCTTGCTAATTAACTGATATGCCAAAAGAATGGCAATACCTCGCTTGTTTGGTTACTCTGTGCCAAAGACAATAGACGGCTCAGAAAAATTGAAGCTGCAAATCCGCCCTTGACTGGCGGCGAGCCACCCAGGCCGAGCTGGTGGCCTCCTCTTCAGTGATGTTCGACAACCTCCGTAGCCTTACGGCGGATCGGGTAACTACTCCGCAGCCTTGCATAAATAGCTGCGCGGGGCTCTATTCTGTCCGTTTTCACCCAAGCCTTGTTGAAGGTGATTTTTTGGCCAAGGATATGACCGTTGCTGTCCCTTATCCGAATGACAGTAGGAGCGATGAACATTAGCTGAAAAAAGATATTACAGCTACTTGCCCCCGATCACAAACCTACGGAATGTTTTCCTGGATTCCCTTGTGGCCAAATAGCAGCCCGGAGGAGAGCTCACGGCCAGAAGACCCTGAAATCCCGGGCCACTTTCCAGATGACAGTCAAAATAGCCAGCATCCACCTCATCATGAAGCTTCTTGTGCAATCTACGAGCTTGCTGGCTCTTCTCCGCCCGACGCTCCCGGCTCTGTCCTTCGGGAGCCATTTGACCCTGACGCCGGATTGAGAGAGACAGCCTTTTTCCACTCTCCAACTCCAGTTACTTCGCACCCTTTGGAGAAAGAAGGCGAGAGCGTGGAACGGATTAAAACTCCTGAGGTGAAACCCGCAACACCTCGCAGCAATGTCCGCAAAAGTTCTACCCACAGCCTTTCCAAACGAACATCCAGATCTCACAAGACAGCCAAATTCACTCCCGGCTCTTCACCCCCTTCTAACGAATCGGTCATTGCGCTGTTTGGGATGACTGGCACAGGCAAAACCTCGTTTATCAACAAGCTTACTGGTGCCAATATGAGAGTTGGGCACAATCTACACTCCAGTCAGTATTGACCAGCTTTCGATCCTGAGGCAATATTTTTGTGAGCACTGAGCTGAACAGAACGCTCTCACCCCAGTGACTTCGGAAATCGAACAAGTCCAAGTCAAAATCGGGGACATCACCGTCACTCTCGTTGACACGCCCGGTTTCGACGATACCACCCGCAGTGACACAGAAATCTTGACTCTTATAGCGTCCTGGTTGAAAGCGTCCTATGACGAAAACACAAAGTTGACGGGAATGATCTATCTTCATCGAATCTCTGACAACCGCATGTCCGGCTCCTCGTATAAAAACTTGGAACTATTCCGCTCCTTATGCGGCATGCGCATCCTGTCCCACGTTATTCTCGCAACCACCATGTGGGATAAAGTCACCGAGGCAGAAGGCAGCACTCGCGAGAAAGATCTCCTCGCAGAAGCCACTTTCTGGGGAGACATGAAGAAATACGGCGCCTTAGTGAGGAGGTATGACGGCACCCACGCAGGTGCACTCGCGTTGGTGGACGCATTGCTCGAAAAGCACCCGGTTACGTTGAAGATCCAACGTGAGATGGCAATTGAAAAGAAAGACCTCATCGACACCGCTGCCGGGAAGTCCATCACTGCCAGACTGGAAAAGATGGCTGCAGACCACAAACAGGAGCTTGATATGGTAAAGCAGGACTTCGAACGAGCTCTGAAAGAAAGTAAGTCGGAACCTTTCCCTATGAGAAATGAAGTAAGGTGCACTCTTTGCTTGCCAGTCCGCATCGCTAATACTGGTGACTCGTATCGTCAGAGGATGCCAAATGGCTAGACGAGCTTAAACAAGCCCGCACTGGCCTTGAGAAAAAGATTGAAGAGAGTGAGAGGAATCTGGAAAATCTGCGACGCCCAATAAACACAAAGTCTTGGTATCATTTCTCGCACAGGTGTAAAAACTGTGATCGGAGAGTGTTCAAGGGGTCAAATAAGGAGGTGGTACGGGGAAAATGTCCAATCTGCGGGCACAAACAGATATTTGTTTAACTGGTATTTATGGTTATAATATATGCTATCACAATGATCTCTACCAATATAACTAATTGTACAAAAACCACATTTGGCGCCTGAAATTATAGATCAATTGGGCTTGATGACTACAGTTTTCAACACAATGGCACGGGCTAATGTGCATTCGTCCTCAGGGACCGTCGTTTAGAGCGGAGGCTTTGTCAATGTCGTCGTCAAGCGCAGACGAGGATGGGGTTAAGCATGAAGGTGAAGATGAGTCGGATGGTGATCTGATGCGGCTTGATGGTAATGGTGATGAAAATGAAGAGGATTCCGATGAGAAGACTTGAATTTAGATATCTACTTCTCGCGCCGCACACCTCGGGATACTAGAGCAACCGTCTATTTTATCCTTCAGTAAGCCACGATCAGCGACCAACCAGCAACCGTACTATTCTCACAGCAACTTATTATTCCGCCCATGGCGGCTACTCCCGTGCTTGTAAACTCCGCTCGAAATCAGGCATCACCCACCTAACCATCCACTCTGATTCCAGGACCTGGTCCACAGTTGGTCGATCCTCCAGCCGGTAGGCAAGCATGCCTCGCATGAGGGCTAAAAGAGCGGCAGTTTCCTCCTTGCCAAACTCCCCCATTCCATCATCCCGACGATATTTCTGGACCCATTCCTCAAATGCTTGATCAATTGGAGGCCACACTTGGCGACCAGGTATCGGACATCCCTTCTCATCAAAAAACTGGGCCCGTTTCTCCCAGCGATTCCACCAGTTCCTCGGCATTGGCCCCAGCTCATCAACATGCTGAGCAATCATTTCATCCTCTGTTACCCAGTCAGTGCTGAAAATGGCTTTCATGCCAATAATCTCCCATATTGCTGTGGCTAGACTCCAGATGTCTGCAGAAAATGTGAGCTGGGTCTGAGGCTCAAATTGTACCTCTGGTGGCTGGTAAGCTAGTGGGATGTTGCAGTCTTTTGCAGCACGAGAACTCAATGCTGGAGCAAATGCCTCTCCAAAGTCACCAAGGAGGACTTGTACATCAGCCAGATTAAATTTGTTTGCTATCTTGCCAAGATAGAGTGACAATACTGCTTTTGGTGGGACATTGGGTGGAAGTGGTTCCCTGTCCCGCCGGGTAATGCTGACCTTCTCTGGCCTGCCGTATTTCTCATATAACTGCTCAATTGAAAGCTCATCAAATCCTGACGGGAGCTTCACCAGAATATTCTGGAGGTGAATGTCTAAAAGGAATAATCTCAAATGTTAGCTAGACATTTTCAAGCAGTGCATGTTGGTTACTACCCTTACTAACCACCATGAGCATAGCCTTTTGAATGCATATAAGCAAGCGCCAGCATGATGCCACCACACAAGGCCCGCGCGACTTCGAGAGGAAACAGGCAACTGTAGGAAACCTCTTAGAGATTGCACCGTGCAGGTATTGTGGTGTAGCATGTATGCGTCCCATTTGGCCCGTGCACCTGGAATTCATCAAGAAGGCAACGAACTGAACTGCGCCCTGTGTGTTGATATTTGGACGCAGAAGAAGGTAGTGGAGCAGAAAGAGCACGGAGTATCTTTGTTTCATGCTGAAGCATATCTGGGTCCGCAATGCCAACTTTCACAGCGACATAGCGGTTTGCTTTGGTGTCATGGGCAAGCCAAACAGTCGAGTAACCGCCGAACCCAAGCTTGTCCACAATGCGATATCTATTGTTGAGGACATCGTCGATCATGACAGGATGATAGCCCCCGGGAGCGTAATCTTCGAGCGACTCCGCACCATCGATCCAGTCGTATTTGATATGGAATTCGGGCGACGTTGTTGTGAAGTTATCGCGTCGAAGCAAACCAAAGCCAAGTATCCGATTCCAAGAGTAAGATTGTAGGGTACTAGGCCTGGTAGAGGGTCGAAGCAATAACGAGGCTAGAGTGCCGATTATGAAGTAGCGCGCCATGGGAACTTGAAGTCGTCCGAGTGACTGCCATGTCCGAGTTTCAAACAATCTGAACTTCTTCTCTGCAGGTCAAAACCTCCTGATTGGAGTCAGTTTAGCCGCCATATTCGATCCAGTCAGAATCAAAATTTGATAGTTTGTTAACTATCTAGCCGAATAACTACATCAAGCATCCTCCGCCTTACAGGAATTCAAGAACATTTGTCAGGCCAACAGGCATCCATCTCAAAACTGCTCTCTTTCTACCGTGCAAACGGGCTGTCCTCCAACGGCAACCGGCCCTGCCCACCCCAAGCTTTCGCATCTCCCCATCTCTCAACCACCAAGCCCGCACTCCCCGGATTCTTATACCCAGCCGCAAACTGCCTTTCATAACTCACCATCCGCAACCGCTCAGCTTCCCTCGGCGTAAGACGAAGGTAAACTTCCACCCCAACAAGATGCAGGAAGAACGCTACCCACGCCGCAGCACCAAAGCTCAAATTAAACGCGACACCGTTCCGCGCAGGGTCTTCTGCGAACAGACTCGCACTGATAGGCGTAAAGGTTGAGCTCAAATTCGCGGCAGTCGTAAACGCGCAATCGGGATATCGCTGTTTCAAGAGCGCGTCCACATCGTCGGAAACGTGCTGCTGCTGATACGTAAAGCGGATTTTCCCACAGGGCCAAACGCCGTATCTCGGGGACGATGAACGGGTGACGGCAACCGCCAGAATCACCAGGATAAGCCTCGTGGTGATGATGCATCCCATGTAAAACATGGTTCGCAACATCCACGCACGATGCTGCTCGATTTGCAACCGCCGAATGTTCCACCACGCCATGCCGACGCTGAGTGTGCATGCAACGACGAGGGTGACCACCCACGTCTGAACGTCCATTCCACCACCAAACGCATGGTCCATGATCATCAGTGCGCCGGCGTTCGACGCCAGGAGGAGGAAGATGACTATGTAGCCATTGGTGCGATGGAAGATGACGCATCGTTGTCGAATTCTGGGGACGAATTGGAAGACCACGAGAATCGCACAGGGCAATATGGTTCCGAGATGGAGGAAGATCCCGACCCGATCCCGACCGGCATGCGCGTAATACCATTCCCCTGGAACGGCTCCTTTTGCGTAAGTGCCGGCATGGAGATACTGTAGACGTGCAAGCGCAAATCCCAGAAGCGCACCAGCAAAGATAAACCAAAGACTGAAGTTGTAGAGCTTGGAATACCCTACTACTTGAGATGCTTTGAGAAAGTAGTGCTTAACAATTGACGCCATGTTTTTCCCTTGTCAACGACTGTGAGGAAACCATATTCTCCTTCAACAAGGAATTACCCATTGTTTTTAAATGCTCAAATTAACAAAACTGGAGGGGGTCAAGTGTACGTATGCGCTGACGAGGATCTATAAACAAAAAATAGATACGGCCGTTTAGAGTGTCTTCCCTTTTGCTTAGTTATCCCAGCAGGCAAACTCGTTTATAATTAGTGTATCTGCTCTTGGAATAGTGCAAAGTGTGTTTTGCTGCTTGAAAGAACGTTGTAGTCGAGACGAGGAGATGTTGTTGGAAAGTGCTGGCGCAACGGTGTTTGCTAAGAGAGAAAAGATGCTGCCTAACTCAACAGGCCAGCAACATTGATGAACAGACTTCACCACTCGTATTCCTGCTGGTCTGGATAAGGATTACAGTGAATGACCTCTGACGTGTCTAGCACTGCGCCTTCATCGTCGATTGGTAGTTATTCGGATCCCAAACCGTCAAAATGTACATTGAATGTTGCATCCATGATACTCCAAACGTGGCTAACACAAGATAAACAATACTATCTTGACTAAAGTCCATTACAGGCGAGCATGTGGGCTTCCCAAAACAGCTCTGCGACGGACGAGATTCCAAATTTATGGAACACTATACCTCAATATAACTTATTTGGACGCCAAAACGAAGATAAACCGGCCAATGAAGCTATGTTGCTGGAGTTTCGTTGAAGGGGTTGAAGCGTTGTGTCAAAGGGCAGGAAAAAGGGCGGGGGATTGCCATCCCTGTGAGTCGTAGACTTCTGCGGTTCATCGTCAGGGTTTAGATTAGAATGTCGATACATGTACAGACTTGGTCTGGCCGCGCAAGGTTCCTCAAGGTGCTCGAGATCGTTTGTTTTCTGATCGCCCTCCTCATTCATTAACTCTTCACTCCACTCCCTTGCATCCGAAGGTAATAATGTCTCTAAATTCGCATTAGAAATATTGAATAACCTGGGTCTTATTGGTGTTGATGGACCAGGATTCCCATTCAATATATCCGTACATCGCTGGCCAAACATTTTCCCAGGTTCCTGGAAATTCATCTGGTATAAACTTTCTCGCGTTGTAGTCCCTTCAAGGCGAGATCGGGTAAAGGTAAAAGGGTTTGTTAGATTCCGGGTTGTGCCTGTAGATAAAGGCGAGGGAGCCTCAGGGCCACCAAGTATGCTCTCAACGTTCCCGGGAAGATATTTGCGATCAATCCCATGGGCATGAGAAGGACGGTTTTCAAAATATCCATTTAATAAGTGGTGTTCCTGTTCTATTCTCTCCGAAACTTGAGGCTGGCTCCGCGCTTTAGATTTATCTTCTAAATAAGGCAATTCGAGTTTCCAACTTTGGCTTTGTTGAGTTGCGGGCTCTATATAGGCACTGCAAGCATTCTCTCTCATACTTCCGCAATGGCTGGTACTGCCGTATTGCTGCTCGACTCCGTCTAAAGGACATGTGGCCCATTGTCGTAATCCTGGGGTGGACGCAAATAGCTGATTTGCGAGTTCTTTCAAATCCTCTAGGCTATAGACGACTTTGGATGACGCGGTAGATTCGCATGCTTGGCCTAAATAGGCATTTTTAAAAACCATGTCGTATGCCTTTGATATGGCAAGGGGATCGTATTCAAAATCATCCACCAAACGCTGTAATTGTGCTTGGTTCTCTGATTTCATCGGTACTGGTTTATGGGGCGGAGGCGGGTGAGGTGCATTCCCACCAGCCCGATTTTCAAACCCCGAGTTTTCATCGGAGTTACTCTCAGACCAGGAGTAGTATGTTGTCGACCGACTGGTTCGTTTTCCGCTATGCCGGTGCGCCACTTGCAAACGTGGAGATGAATCTAAGGGTGCAATTACAGCATTATTGGGAGGTTGGTTTATAGAAATCGACTCCTCCATAGATTTTTGAGGATTAACTTTAGAGCGCGAAGTTGACGAAGCGCAGCTTTTTGCCGGCTCCTTTGGTAATTGTGGACGAGCAAAGTATTCTGAAATTTCGAGGATCGGGGGTCTATTTACCGCCCTGTCTTTGTTGACGTCGGTTGGAGTAATAGTTTGATTTTGCTTTGCAGTATGGGATAAGAATTTCATTTCCGAGAAAGTGAGGTCCGGAACTTTGTACGATAACTAGGTCAGTAGCGTCGTGGGTATCTAGATCCTTCAAATGGAGTTTCTTACTTTCGCATCGCCTTACAGGCGAAGAGGCACGCCCACGCGCAAACATGCCCACATCAAAATTAGAGCTAAGCTTTTAGCAATTATAGTCAGTACTTTCTACTATCGTTCCGGGGCGTGCGTCGTACTGTAAGCCGTTTCTGAGACACATTGGGGGCAACAAATTGATCCTCAAGGAGCCTTTTCCCATGTTTTCGCTTCACCCTTTTAGTATTTCGAAATTTCTTATTTTCGTTTCTTGCAACTTTTGACTGATCTCGGTTCCTAGAGGCCTCTTTTGGGTCATATCGATCTTTCCGCGTCTTCCTTCTTGGCTGTTTCTCGTACAATGCACTTGTCGCGGGTTGTGCGTCGTTGTCGATATTGCTAAAAGGCATTCTAGTGGGGTTGGGCTGAGTTACACCCGGGTTTAGATAAGTGGGATGCTGAGATATAGAAAATATATTAGCGTGAAAAGGTTCATTTGAGCGGTTTGAAAATGGATTAGGGTGGGAGTTGTGCTGATAGCCGCAGCCAAAACACTTGATATCGCTTACTTTCAAATCTGATTTCCTGGGGAGTTCCATGAACTCAATCGGGCCACCGATTCCTATGAATGAAGGGTCAGGTGAAAAGACCAGAAACGACTGCAAGCAAGACCTAACCTCTTTGACCACAAGGTATCGTATTGGCGTCCCCTGGTACAGCAGAGCTGCAATTACCCTGGTATTCTGTGATATGGCCACCGCCCATTGGAACACCAGACTCAATGGGAGTCCCGTCAGAAGGATTGACTTGTAAAAGCCATTCAACCACACGATCTCGTTGCATCACAGCGAGGTCGTGGTGCCCCATATCCGCTAATTGCCGTTACTTGGTCGGAAACAGCTCCACCGGCTCGGCTTCCAAGAGTAAAAGCGCAACTAGAGCGCAGCATCCAGGGCGTAGTTCCGTCGACGAGACGGGGCTTTCACGAGTCGTTGCGATTCACAGCAAGACTCGAGGTGACGGTTCCTCTTTCCGGAAAGGGCAAGTCACGCGCCAACAGCGCACGACCTCAGAGAAGGCTTCACATTCTATCAACCTCCGGAAACGACCTCGATAGAGAACATCGCCGATCTAGAGCTCACGCTTGCTATCGATTACGGGTGATGATCCAATGTGAACGGGGGATCTGTTCCGGGAGGCACAAACCCGCGTGTTGACGACCCATTGCACTGAGAGGATGTCCTCGCATCGCTGGTTAGCGGACAGAGCATCGACCACAGGTACTCGCATGCAAAGGGAGAGTTCAGAAGAGCGAATTGAAATGGCTGCTGGCAAGCATTGAGTGTTGATTGCCCTACAGGCATAGCAAGACGTCCTGCGCATGCTTGGATGTTTATGTATCCTGAAACCAGGGTAACGACCCGATCAAATCTCTGATCTCCGGGGATCCACCCAGTGGGCGAGATTCGTAAGTTAAACAGAGGTGGACCCGCCATCTGCTCCTTATCAAGCCATCGTCGATTCTCGATGAACTGCACAGACCACCAAGCTTCAAAGCACTGACCGTGATCGCCATAGTTAGCGGGTTACACCAAACAAGCAGGAATACATGTCAACGAAGGAGCTCCGAGAGAAACCCCCTAGGGATCCGGAACGGCATGAAAGCCCGTACAAGAGCACATGTCAGAGTGTCTGTGAGTCTGGCGACGACGCCAACTTGAGAGGATTCTATTGAAGGTGTAGGCATGGCCGAATCTGTTCAAAACATGGGAAACTCCAGTTCAACGCCGTTCGACAGCTGGTTACTCCGTATATATGTATATGTCTCCTAGTGAAGGGTCTCTCTGGAGCCCGAGCAACCTCTGAAACTTCGATGAGCCGGAACCTCGGGGTGAACGAACCACGGAACCATTGTGAAGCCAAACCTTTCCAGTCCGTTGGAATGCATGAATCACGCCTTCTGGCCCAAACAGCGACGGAGAAAAGCCGCCATGGCTGCATTGCCAGTTTTGGCTGGCAAAGCTAATCTCACACCGTTGATCGTCAGTGTCCAGACCCTGATCCCGGCCGTCTGTCCTCCATCGCGGCGTTGCAACAAACAGACTTTACCAGTTCTGTGTGATGCCACAGCATGCCGGCTCTTGAGCCAACCCAGCGCTGCGATTTGACTGGCTTAGCCCTTCCTTGCTGCGAACTAATTAACGCACCAGCTAATGGGCTCTCCGTCCAGTGGAGAAATTGGGAAAATATCCTGAGGTTTGTCGACACCAGCAGCTTAGCGCCACGCAGTCTCCTTTCACTCGCCGACTCTTCCCATCAACGGGCTGCGGGGGCCAGAAAGGCTAGGATAGTGTGAGCATAGTCGCGTAGAATGTGTAATAGCGGACAGGGCATCCACTTGCGGATATTCGAAGCAGATTTTCTGCTGGTGGGATTGCATTTCATGTTGCTTTCCGCTCTCTGAATCAACCCTTTGTTGCGTGGTGAAAATTCCTTCAAGACGTTTCAACTTTTGCAGTCGAAAATATTTTTGCTCGTTTAGCTCGTTAGTTCCCATTTTTGCTTCCTTTTTCCTCCTCGATCCCTTTTTTTCCGTTGGGCGAAGGATCTTTTTCTCCCACCATCTGCTGACCCCTCCTTCAGACAACCGACTCCCTCGTTCTCTGCTCCCTGACTCCCATTTGCCTTGTGACTCCTCGTCAACGCCCATCAGACACACAGGCGGCGTACATACATATACTGAAGCGCTCCTCCGCTCAAAAAGTTAGATCCGTTGATTCCTTTCGCCATCTTCTCTCCCCCACTCTGGAGGCGTTGTTTGCTTTCTGACCGGCTGTTCCCCCACAACTGGTTCCCTCCTGCAAGGCCAGAGACTGTTGCGTGGAGCTTTCCATTGTCTGCGCCGACGCTGTTTTGCTTAGTTATAGGTGAAACATTCATGCCTGTGGCCTGCAAGCACTGTAATCACAGACGAGCCGCTGTTTTAGTGCCCTCTCAACCTTCCCACTCTCTAAATTTATCTTTTTCAACTCCAAGCTAACATCCTCCATCTCCCGTCAAGATATTTCCATCAGCTCTTTCAATTCGAATAATCGACTCTACTTTTAATTTACTGTCATCATGTCCAAATTATTCATTGGGTTAGTCTGTCAATTTTGTTTTCGGCTTCCGGCTGCGCCTGCTTGGTGACTGACCTGACAATCCAGAGGCCTAGCATGGCACACCACCGATGAGACTCTGCGCGAGGGCTTCTCTAAATATGGAACCATCGAGGAGGCTGTCAGTTAATTTTATGATCCTGGGCTGCTCGTGCAATTCGAAGCGGTGAAGGCGATTTTGAGCATCTCATTCTAAACTGAAATAGATCGTTGTGAAGGATCGCGATACCAACCGCAGCCGTGGCTTTGGATTTGTTCGTTTCGCCAGCGAAGCTGAGGCAGACGCTGCGATGAACGCAATGAGCAACCAGGAGTACGTTGTGCATTTCACTTCCTTTGGCTGAAAAAGTAGCATCCAGCTTGCTTGTCATAGCCCTATGCTCGTACATGATTAAAACAAAACTTCGTCATTGCAGATTCGATGGCCGCATGATTCGCGTCGACAAGGCCGCAGACCGCCAGCCTGGTCAACGCAGTGAAGGCTTCAGCCGTAGCAACTACAACCGTTTCGAAGGTGGCGGGCAAGGTGGCTACAACCGCGGAGGCTATGGTGAGATTTCCTTCTGGTTCCTTCAATATCCCCCCTACATCATTAATTGACGCGTTTCATACAGGTGGCAACAACGGAGGCGGCTACGAACAGCGTCAGGGCGGAAATGGTGGTATGTGCCATCTCGTTTCCTTTAGGTGCTATTTAGGTTGCGACCAGCAAAAGCTAACTCTTACTTTTCGCTTATGCTAGGAGGTTGGGGTGGCTATCAGCAAAACTGGAACCAGAACCAGGGCGGATCTGGTGCTTAAAAAACAGTTGGATGATGAGACGCCGAGTGGCATCCTACTTCTCACTTTCTCCGAGTCCTATCTGCACATCATGAACCTTGACCACACTTTTTATGTCCTTTTACTTCTGAACTGACACCGAGGGGGGAATGTACGAAATGTAGGCAGCACTGGGATAGCATGGACCCTGATGTTCTCTTAAACTAACGATTACGTTATTTTTCTCTTTCTTTTTTTCTTACTTGAAGTGACTGACTTGCAGGCTATCTTTCCTTGAACCACTTCCCATTCGAACACACTCCCTTGAAATCTTTTATCCTCTGTTTCCTCCTAACTTTTACCCTCAAATTTGGTAGCCTGGCAATCTTGGAATGACCTTATAATCGTGACGGCCGATCTTGGGCATGAATCGTCCTTCTGCTCGCCCTACCTTGTCTTGTTTTCTGGAAAAGTTACAACCCCGCAATCTTGTCGTGTCCTAGGGTTCGCGGTTTTGTTGCAATTTACTTTTCTTTTTGCTCCATTGGTGTATGTATGCATGTACGCGATGAGTGATGAGCGATGAATTGCTTTCTTGGTCGTCGATTCTTCCCAGATGCCCACGTTATTGTCTATCTTATATGCAATGCGACTACCTTACTTTGAAGACAAGGCCTCGAAATATCTATGCAATTCTATGCGAGTCTATGTAGTGGCACGCCTATTCAAAACGACACGGATATCTGTTTAAACCTCCGCAACAGCACAGCATCCTCTCAAGGTTTTCGCCTCATGGGCTCATCCACCTCTTCCAGCGCTTCATCTTCCCGATATTCCTCGGCTGGAATAGCAAGTCTCTCTACCTCAATCTCGCTCTGACTCTTCCTACCCTCTCGAACCCCCTCCAGCGCCCTGACCCTCTTCACCAAATCCGTAACATGAGCATCTGCATATCCAAGCCCGATACCCTCGAGTGCCTTCTCTAGAAGATACAGGTACTCTTTATTCTCCCCGCTCTGGCCACGGCTCCGAAAGATCACCGTCGCCACGGAAGCCGGGTCGCGATCAGCTGGGTTACGCAAGAATTGGGAATTGGTCGGCAGACCGATGTAGACCATGCAGAGGAATGGTGATGATGCGTTTGCAGGATTGGGCGCGTTCGGCTCCGCGCTGCCGGCTGGAGTAACGTGTGGATGAAAGGGCGTGTAATGGACGCTATACCCGTTGATTTCACGGTCGTCGAGGTAGGCGTTTACCTCTTCGGCGTGGGAGGCGGGGATGTGGTAGGCTGCGCCCCAGACGAGAGATTCGTTGGATTCTGGCTCTACATCTTGATGCTAAGAGGGATAGCTAAGGTAAGTGGATGTGTTATGGGGAAGTGCTCCTTGGGAGTTCAAATTTTTTGAATGGATTCTTTTGGACATTGCATAGAACAACAAGGAAGAAAAAAAATCAAAAGGTGTGACTAACAGGATCTGACAAAGTCTCCCAAAAGGAGCGCTCAATGACAGTGACAACACGGCCGTTCGACTCAGGGGTACCACGATGATCCGCACTGGATATTACAAATTAGCACTGGATGGCGCGCAATACCCAGCCAAGCCATGTTGATGAGGGACGAAACGCCTATTAACGGGTGACATGGCCCGGAATCCGACGGTATTTCAACAAAACGGAACACGGCTGAGGGATGCGAGGAAAGGTCGCCTCGAACTTCCAAAACCCAGGGAGAGCGCACCTTGCCTGGAGACAGGAAAATTACGCGTGGTAATAAGATTAGCTCCCATTTTTCCTCGGAAACGACACTGGCTTCATGCTGACAGCGTGGGGAGGGTGATGGCGGTTGATACAGGACATACCTGCCAGAACCGACGGACATAGCCTTTGATGTAGCCGGGGACACGCTGGTCTGAAATCCAATTTATTAGCTGCGGTTGAGGCCACGAGACCACAAGAGAGTGCTTCATTGCATGTTGTTTTCAGAAATCAAGTCCACGGGCTCTGGTTGGCTACGAAATGAGACCAGGGCTGAAATGCGTATTTTCGAGCCGAAAGATACGGAGTACAAGGAAGCGAATGCACTTTGCAGAGACGTGTCTTGATCCCTTTTTGGCTTGGAGTCCAAGCGTCTTCTCATGCGCATCAAAACATACCATAATGCGGAGGCGGTTTCCATATCAAACTCCTGTTTCTCACTCCATTAGTCGTGCTCTTGCAAGATGCTCCAGGGGACGGGGAGAGGGAACAGGACATGCAGGAAAGCCTAAATGCGACATTGAGAAAGGATGGAAACGTTCACGCACCCATATCCAAACACCCATACGTCTCCAGCCGGGAAGTGGCGCCTCCAGGAGCTAAGGGCCGAAACCGAATGGGTTGATATCTGATGGGAGTTGTCTTCCATGTTTCTCTCTCAGAATTAACCTGAGTAGCAATACGACTTTCAACAGAGGATAAACTAGTCGCATGGAAACCAGCCACCAAGACTATGAACCTACTAGCTATCGAGGCACCATCACTCCAGACATCCTCGTGGCGGTAAGGAATGCACCTCCAGAGTCACTCGACGGGACGAAGCGAAGTACCTAGCCGCTTAGCTAATTTGGCGCTTAGTCACAGGGTTACCATTGCTGTTCGAGCAGCAACAGGCTAGTGCTTAAACGGACGCCAAGACTAACGTGTGACCAGGCTTGGCACACGCCATTCTTGGCGCCGCGGAGGCTGTCTTTGAGCCGCGTGAAGGCGGTTTCGGAGTGAGCAAAGGGACCGCCGTTGACAGAACGGCAAGGGACAACAACTATTAGCATTTGACGTCTGTAGCTACTATATGGTTTATGGATTTTGGCTGGCATCTGGATTTGAGAGCACGTTTTATCAGCGAACGTTGACAGCTGGCCTTGCTCCGTTCCCCCTCGCCTCAAGTTCAACCCCTCTTCCGGATCCTCAAGTCCTCAATACTCCCAATTGAGCTACCATGGCATACAATAGCTCATTCAACCCGGATGCGCTGCCAGCGTAAGTCCATTCCCCGTGCGCGTCACTTTTCAGGAAGAGGCTAAAGGGCGTTGAGCTTAGGCATGCAGAGCCAGAGCAGGTATGTCATTGATAATTTTCGGCTGTAGTGATACAATCTCCTGCCCTGATCGTCGAGGCTAATGACTTTCGAAAACAGGTCGCTCAAATGCTAGGGCAGTTACAAGCATCGCAGCAGCCAAACCATTCACAGAGTCAACCACCACCGCCCCCGAAAGGCGGACATCCCCCGCGTGCGTATACAAACCCTCCACCCCGGCACCAGTCCGCGCCAACCTATCCACCCGCAACGGGGCATGCGAATCCAAACTTCAACAATCGAATATATTCGCCTCCTCCCCAGAGCTACGGCCACGGACCACGACCCGCGCACCCGACACAGAACCGTCCTCCCGTCTCCTCCTTGCCTCCGCGGACACCCCAAATCGCACACAAACCAGGAATGCCCCTTTCAGATAATCCGCAAGATCTGTTTCCTCTGTTCCGCGCCGCCAACGCCTCTAATACAGGCTCTCTATCTGAACCTGAGCTAGGCTCGGCGCTGGTTAATGGAGACTACACTTCATTTGATCCCGTAACGGTAAAGATGATGATCCGCATGTTCGACAGAGATGGCAATGGGCGCGTAACGTTTGACGAATTCGTCGCCCTATGGCGCTTTCTGGCCGCGTGGAGGGATTTATTCGACCGCTTCGATGAGGATCGCAGCGGCCGCATTAGTTTACCAGAGTTTGGCAAGGCGTTGGTTTCGTTTGGATACCGGCTGAGCCAGACGTTTGTGAATCTGCTGTACAGGAAATTCGAAGCCAAGGGGCGCGGAAGAGCTACTCCTATTGGGCCGGGGGAAAAGGATGCGATGAGTTTTGATCTGTTCGTTCAGGCCTGTTTGACACTCAAGAGGATGACGGATGTGTTTAAAAAGTATGACGAGGATAGGGATGGATATATAACTGTGAGTTTCGAGGAATTCTTGACAGGTAAGCCTATGCGTTCTAGTTCTGATATCTCCCCCATCTGATTTCAAGCTAATGTGGTCATTGTAGAAACGATAGAACTTCGAGAATAGCATGGAGCAGCCACGATTTCATGACTTTACGTTTTTTATTATAGCATGACTTCCTTCATATGCGTTGCATGTGTATGATTCTGTTGTGTTTTCCTCGAAATACCCATGAATCCGTTTAGCCTTGGTACCTGATAGAGGCATAAAAGCGTGAAATTGAATTTAGAACGGCGCATTTTCAGAAGATTCTCAGTACACATTTCAAAGTGACAATGCCACCACAGTCAGACAAGAATCCCTGCTCGCAGTTTGATCCTCCCACTTCTTTTCTCCCTCTCCCCGGCATTCAACCGCTTCTCCCCTTCTCTTCCTCCAGCTGCTTCAGCTTCTGTGCAAACGCTTCTTGCGCCATCTTCACCATTCCCTCATCACACCACACAATCTCCCACAGATACCCATCCAGGTCGGCAAAGGACCGCGAATACATCATACTGTCATCGCACCCTTCCAATTTCAGCGGCGGGAACGCCTTCGCACCCGCCCTCACGGCCGTTTCCACCGCCTCGTCCACCTCCTGTCTGCTTTTGGCGCTCAGGCCGTGGATGGTCGCGTTCTTGGCGGCGCGGTGGGTGGCGGGCTCCAAGCTGGCTCGCTCGGCAGGGAGGAATTTTTGGAATTGGTCAGCGGTGGAGAGCATGACGACGATGTCGTGGTTGAGGGCGTTGACCATGCCGTGGCTGGTTGGGGAGCTGAAGAAGGGGTGTTTGATGAAGCCGATTGCTTCGTAGAAAGCGGTGGCGGCGGGGAGGTCGCTGGTGGGCATGTTGATGAAGACGGGGCGGGCCATTGTTGGTGGGTTTGGCGGAGGTACGGTTTGGATCGCGGAGATTCTCAGGGAGAGCCAATGAAGGCTTTGATTGTGATTCTTTGATGGGAAGATTTTTCTTTTTGCTTTGGAGCTGTAATATATGGATTCCTGTCAAGTAAGGAGGGGTCTTCGCATTATATATCCCAGCGGGCCAGCCTCCAGACGGCTCGCCGCTTGCGAGTGGGATACGAACAGAGCGCAAATGCCAATCATCATGAAACCAAATCTCATTCACGATTCGCGGACTTGCACTGAGGAATTAGGCAGACACGCCGCCAATCGAGAGTATCGGCCGGACTCATGGTGCCGGCGTCGGTGTCGGGGGAATTGACATGTCCATGTCTCGTGTCTCCCTTGCTGCGATTTGATATGCCCCAGGCAGCAACGAGGCTAAAGGCCATCACCAAGGAGACTTGCGAGTTTCTGTCGCGGATTTGGCTCACGGTCAGACTTGGCTCGTCGTTTTCCTCCTTGGCCCAGACGCCAGTTTGAAGCTTATTATATTTGGAGAGCATTCATGAGTCGTCATGCTTTGGATGCCTTGGGATAAGAAGCGGAACATCACCAAGTCAAAGCAACGAGGAGCGACTTTTGTTGTTACCGGTGGGATATCTCAGCCTTCTCAACGCCTTGTATTGCCATCGGTTCTTTCTTCCATACTCTGGCCATTGCTGTCAATCTGGGACACCAAAGTTTCCCTGTCGTTGTTTCCACATGTCCATCTTGAGTATTCCCCCATAGTCATATATATCCATAACAGCTTGATAGGCATCGCATGCAAACGAATCGACGATTCGATATCTTATAAGCAAAAACTCGTATTGCTTTCGAATCAATTCCGCCCAAATCGCCAGGTCTTAACTCCGTGCAGTTCGGCTTCTATCTCCGTTCGCCTGAAGCCTATCTCATCTTGGCTTCGAATGCCAAAATTCGAGAATGCCGAAGCCTGGAACACGCCCGGGCTGCGCGGGATAGCAGCACACGCGTGCAGTGCGCTCTTTGATGAGAAGGAGATGCCTGGGAGGAACTGTTCACTCGTCCACCATTCGCGAACTGCAATCTCCCCATCGGCAAAGCGGCCCAGCCAGCCCCGATCACTGACAAGCTAGTTGCACCGAAGCAGGGATGGTTGACGGAGTTCGTCTGTCAATGTTTGGAGATGACCCACTTGGCAGGTTCTCGAGGTCGGGCTCTTCGTTTTCTCAATGTTTGATTATAATCTCGCATTTGACTCACGAGAGATATATATTCTAGGACCAGCTCAATATATCTCCTTTTATATCAGTCTCGAGACAACGACTTTGAGCTCAACTCCTAGCGCTTCCAGGAACCAGCATTTAAAAAAGCTTAACCCTCTCGTTACCCTGCTGAATTCCGAACCTCGCGCTGCAAGGTATACCCGTCGTTGCATGCGACATGCTCTGGAATGATGGCGGACTCTCTGGATAGACGATCTCATAATGGCCCATCGACGGACTCCAGTCAGACTGCGGCCGAAGTCATCGGTTCTCAGCCAGAGAATGCGAAAGAGAATGACGGATCACTGCACGATGAGAGGTGCCTGCCTTCTCGCTCTTCGGCCAGCTCGAATGTGAATGCCCCTAAAGAGATGCCTACTACGGAAGAGGAGCATAACCCCTTGGAGCTGACGCCATCCCAAAGCGAGAAAATGGCAAGAAAGCAAGTGCTAGCAATCATGGGCGCGCTCTGTGTAAGCATGTAGTTACATCAAGGGCAAAACAAGGATCGATCCGGCTAACGAATGCTTTCCAGTTGGCGCTGTTTCTGGCGGCGTTGGATATGGTGAGTGGATTCCCCAACAGTATATCAAGTCTCGAAATTAAGATCCTGACGTCTCGATTTTCAAGACCATTATCTCCACGGCTCTGCCCACGATTGCCGCTCAATTTCGTGCCAATGAGACTTCGTATACGTGGATGGCCTCGTCGTATCTCCTTGCCAATGCCGCCTGTCTACCCCTATGGGGAAAGATAAGCGATATCTGGGGGCGCAAAATTGTCATCCTGATCGCAAATGTCTTGTTTCTGGTGGGCAGCTTGGTCATCGCTCTGTCTAATTCGCTTGCCCAGTTCTTGGTAGGTAGAGCGCTGCAAGGGATAGGCGGCGGGGGAATCATTATTCTTGCGCAGATATGCGTGAGTGATTTGTTCAGTGCCAGGTGAGAGTTTTGTCTTTTGTTTGCTTGCTGCAGTCCAACGCTTCTGAACCGTGGGCAAGTTGCTAAAGCTTTCGCGTCTAGAGAACGGCCGATGTATTATGCCATGTTTGGAGCTACTTGGGCAATTGCTGGCTCGCTTGGGCCGGTAATCGGCGGTGCCCTGACTCAGAAGGTCACCTGGCGATGGTGCTTTTATATCAATCGTGAGTCCATGATTTTGCCCTCTGGTTGGAAATAGCGGATTTCCATCAGGCTGACCAAAGGCTAGTTCCTACCGGTGGAGTCTCGCTCCTAATTCTACTCCTCTGGATGAATATCGAATCTCCCAAAACTCCGCTTCTCGCCGGCCTCAAGGCGATTGACTGGCTTGGAACCATTACAATCATAGGCGGTACTATCATGCTGCTCTTCGGGTTGGAATTCGGAGGAATCACGTATCCTTGGGACTCCGCGACAACCCTCTGTTTGATCATCTTTGGTATCGTCGTTCTGATCCTCTTCTGGTTCGTGGAACGAAAAATCGCCAAATACCCGATCATGCCCACCGCGCTTTTCGAATCTTGGAGCAACGTCTTCATTCTCGGGGTCAATTGGTCGCAAGCCATGAACTTCATCGCCGGGGCGTACTATCTACCCATCTACTTCCAGACCGTCCTCGGCGTCGGGCCTATCCTCAGCGGCGTCTACGTCCTCCCGCAAGTCGTTGGCCTCTCCGTCGTCTCCATCATCTCCGCTGTCGTCATCCGCAAAACAGGCCACTATCTCTGGATCATCCGCGGGGCCACCGTCGTCACCGCGCTCGGATACGGCCTGTTCATCGACCTCAAACCGTACCCGTCCTGGCCGCGCATCATCATCTACCAACTCATCGCAGGCATCGGCATCGGGCCCAACTTCCAAGCGCCCCTCATCGCGATCCAATCCGCCATGAAACCATCCGACGTCGCCTCCGCAACCTCCACATTCGGATTCATGCGTCAACTATCAACCTCCATCTCCCTCGTCTTCGGCGGCGTCGTGTTCCAAAACGTCATGAAGCAGTCGGCGCCCAAGATCAGAGCCGCGCTGGGCCCGGAACTGGCACCCGCGTTCTTGGGCACCATTGCCGGCTCGAATATCGAGAACCTGCACCGCCTCAACGACGAGCAGAAGCGCGTTGTGTTTACCGAGTACACGCACACGCTGAGTCGGCTGTGGATCTTCTACACCAGCGTGGCGGTGCTGGGGTGCTTGTTTAGCCTGGGGATCAAGAAGACGGAGTTGAGCAGGCAGCACGAGGTTACCAAGACGGGGCTGGCGGAGCAGGAGCGTGCCAGGCGGGAGAGGCTGGAGGAGCAAAAGGAGAAGAAGCGGTTGAAAGCTGAGAGGAGTAATGGTGGGAATGGGAATGGGGAGGAGACGAAGCCGGAGGTCTGAAACTGGGCGGTTTTTGCAGCTGGATGTTACACGGCGCAGTGCATCTATGCTCTTGTACTTGCAAAAAAGAAGTCTGGTTCTGCGCTCCCCTTTTTTTTGTTTTATATAATGATACCCGCGCCGCATCAGCTCGGCGTATTATGGCTGGTTAGAGCTAGGGGGATGTTGAAACAAGAGGACCATCGTTAAGTCTTTCTTAATGTATATACACATCGAAAATAAGGGCTCAAAACGGCATCAATAGAGAAAAATGTGACTTCCCTCTCATCTGCAAGTCATACCAAAATCGCTGCCTCAAACTGTGTGGTCCCGCCATCTTTCACGTCCCAAGCATGTCAGATCTTGGTCCATCGGATCTGCACGCATAAATTCTCAAGGGTCCTCATCCTTTTTTTTTTTTTCTTTTTTCATTTTTGTCGGGAGCCGCTTTCCTTCCCAACCGATGCAGGGACCTTTTTACGTCGGCAATCGAAACTGTTTGGCATCTCAACCGGACGCCCGATCCAGGATCGCACAGCAGGCAAAGTCTACGATGTTTCCACAAGTTGCACGGTGTTCCTGCATTCGCGCCAATCGCAATTGGGAGGGAGGGATATTCTTACCGTGTGTCTGAATAGATTTTTTTTGTCCCGTGTGGGACGGGAGAGTGTTTCGCCCGTCTTGCTCGTCGGATGCGAGATAGATCGTGTATGAAAGAAAGGATGCAGGACTGGAATAGCTTCCAAACCTTGTTGTGTTGAATAATACCAGCAGTCTGCAGATGATCAATGCAGAGACGGTTTGAAGTTAATTGTGGGATGCAGCATCCCCTAGTTAAGGATGCGCGAGTTGTACGAAATTGAACGCGAAAAACACCCATTTGAGGGAGACGGCTTTCGGAATGATCACGATCTGAAAGGACCGGATACGATCGAGTCCAGGTATTCCGGTCACCTGCTCATTCTCGATCTGGCCGCCGAGGCATGGCCCGGGGTCAGTGGTCCGTCCACCACCTCTCGAGAGAAACGGATTCGGTTAATAATGATCGTATAAGTAGGATCGGATGGGTTCACAACGGGTTGCAAAGTTGGTGAGAGTGTTCGGGGTTAACGGATACGGCATCGGCCTCTGGGCCTGGGAAGGCTCGGGCGAGATGCCGATACTGGAGCTTGGCCTGGCTGGCGGACCGTGGATGGTGCAAAAGAAAAAGAAAAGACGGCACAGATTGAAAGAAATTGTTTGGTTGGGAGTCTTGAAAGTTGAGCTTCGATGCTGTCTCTCCCTTTGAACAAAGAAATCAGATAAGATCAGGAGACCATCGGCAGCCCAGGTTCGAGCCCAGGTTCGCCGGGACCCCTGGCAATTGAGTCGTGCAATCCCATTTTAAATATATTATTAATAGTTTTTGGAGGGAAGGCAGCCAGTGAGAGCAGATGGGTTAGGGGTGTGTCTCGGCTTTGAGTCGAACGAGCGATCTTTGAGCTGTTGGGACGCCGAGTCGGTGTAAGGATCCGTGTGCGACGTTGATGAGAGACGAAACCAGTTTGAGATGCATCTCGCAGGCCGCAACGCCAGCTTGCCGGCGGCTGGCGGAAGACCTGCTGGCAAGCAGACGGGGAGAGCTCCAGCAGCCGGCCGCCTGGAACTGTCCGTCAGATTGCCTCTTGCGAAGCGATGCCTTGGCCCAAACGCATCACCACTAATAACGAAACTATGTAACTAATGGCTAGTTAGTTTAGCTCCCAACGGTCGAACTGAGACGAGTGGCCCAGGGCTCGGCGTATTCCGAATTGCTACTCGAAGGTGGCCCCTGTCCGTCCTCCCCAGCCCTTGCCGTGCTCAAGCCGGGGCGCCTCAGGATTCTGGAAGCAGAGGCCAGCGATCATCACGATTCTGCTGAGCGAGGACAATCATCCACAGCAGAGAAAAGCAAATAAAGCCGATCTCGTCGTGTGGGGAAGACACATAGGGCGAGCTTCCCGGGAGTTGCGAATGGATGTGACTTCATGGACTCCACTTGTGTATCAGCGTGGCATTTGCCCCTGGGGACATGGTCGTATTAGTTAGTTAGCAGTATGGCAGCTAGGAGGAAGATGGAGGTGCAGAGATAAATATACATCGCTGAGCAAAGACTGTGAGGTATTAAACCTCAGCAGTGCCGCTTCCAGATATTCCGAAGCAGCAAAGGTCTTCCTCGTTGATCCCCTGGTTTCTGAGAAAAAGCAAATAAAAGGATCTCTGCCGTCAACTGATAATCGCCAACCACAGCGCAGCTGGAGACTTGACTAGTTGGTGATAGAATCTGACATCATTTCTCAGCAAGTCCGTCACTGTGTGCGTTTCCAACCATTCTGTGAACAAGCAACCCACAGGCTGTTGGCTGCAAGCACAGTCTCTGCATCGTATTTCCCTCTCTTCCCTCGTCCTTTTGAACACTCATCCAGCAACAAAGAGTCGACGCACCGAGAGCCACGCCCGACTGCAGGCCTGCCTTAACCATCTGCAGAGTTAACCGCAAGCCAGCCCCACCAGCACCACCTCAAACGCTTCGCTGCGACCACTGCCCTCCCGCACCTCTCGCGACTTCCCTCTCTCCACCGGCATCGTCTCGCATTGTTGCTCTCTCAATTGACCACCGCCCGCGAGGACTCGCTGCTTCGAGGTTTTGCTCCTCGGGTCTCGTTTGGCTTGTGTGTGCGCCAGGACAGCGCTCTCTCCAGCTTGTCCTTCTTTTCTTCTCCCACCATTTCGATCCCGACCACACACCGCAATTGCAACATGCCGTTACAGAATCAGAATGGGGACCATCAAAGCCCCAGGTGAGTGTGGATGGGTTTCTTTGTGTTTTATTTCTGAGCGTGGGGAAAGCTTTCCCCGGGTTTTACGAGCACTGTTCCGGAGCAGCTTGTGAGCTCCACGCACTCTGAGTCAACCAGCTGCAACCAGCTATTTCTCAGGCAACGCATCCCTTTTACAAGACCTTTAGGCCATTTAAACTACTGTCCAACGTGCTCTGAGGCTTGACTTTCATCGTTATTGGAAAAGAAAGCAATGCCGGCTTCACAGCTAACTTTTGGTGATCCAGTGCCAAAGAGCTCAAAGATGACACAGTCATCGTGGTACTCGGCGCGTCCGGTGACCTAGCAAAGAAAAAGACAGTGAGTTGAGACCTCAGTTCTGCAGCTCAGCCGTCCCGGTGCTAACTGTTGCAGTTTCCGGCTCTATTCGGCCTTGTAGGTTCCCAGCAGTCTGAACCTCCCCACCTAGTCCCGCGTCGAATACTGACTTGAAGCCTAGTATCGAAACAAATTCCTCCCAAAAGACATTAAGATCATCGGATATGCCCGAACGAAAATGGACCACGCGGAGTTCATCAAACGCGTGCGCTCCTACATCAAGGTTCCCACCAAAGAGATCGAAGAGCAGCTGGCAAGCTTCTGTGAACAATGCACCTATATCCCCGGCCAATACGACCAGGACGACTCTTTCATCACATTGAACAAGCACCTAGAGGAGCTAGAGAAGGGTAAAAAGGAACAGAACAGGATATTCTACATGGCCCTGCCTCCAAGTGTTTTCACGACCGTGTCAGAACACTTGAAAAAGAACTGCTACCCAAAAAATGGCATTGCAAGAATTATTGTGCGTCTATAAATTTCGCTTGTCCTTGATAGGAGCTCGTTTACTTATCGATACCCTTGGTTAGGTTGAGAAACCGTTCGGAAAAGACCTTCAAAGTTCTCGCGATTTACAGAGGGCGCTTCAACCCAACTGGAGAGAAGACGAAGTCTTCCGTATCGATCACTACCTTGGAAAAGAAATGGTGAAGAACATTCTCATCCTCCGATTCGGAAATGAATTCTTCAATGCTACCTGGAACCGACACCATATCGATAACGTGCAGGTATGGACCTATGATTGCTGAGCGTAAAACGGCGGGCCTAACAAGTCACAGATCACCTTCAAGGAACCCTTTGGTACTGAGGGAAGAGGCGGATATTTTGATGAATTTGGAATCATTCGTGATGTAATGCAGAACCGTGGGTTGCCTTGGCCTTTTGGTTTCATTACGCCAAACCTAATCGTTGGCAGATCTCCTCCAGGTCCTCACCCTGTTAGCTATGGAGCGCCCCGTCTCGTTCTCTGCAGAAGATATCCGTGACGAGAAAGTGCGTGTTCTACGCGGCATCGACCCCATTGAGCCGAAGAATGTAATTATCGGACAGTACGGCAAATCCTTGGACGGAACAAAGCCCGCGTACCGGGAGGATGATACTGTCCCAAAGAACTCCAGATGTGCAACGTTTTGTGCTATGGTTGCTCACATCAAGAACGAACGTTGGGATGGCGTTCCATTCATCTTAAAAGCAGGAAAAGGTAGGCTTAGAAGGCCAACACCTGGATGATATCCTTGCTTACGTTTTATTTTCTTAGCCTTGAACGAGCAAAAGACTGAAATCCGTATTCAATTCCGCGACGTGACGTCCGGGATTTTCAAGGACATCCCCCGAAACGAACTCGTTATCCGTGTCCAGCCTAACGAGTGCGTTTACATCAAGATGAACTCGAAGCTCCCCGGTCTCTCCATGCAAACAGTTGAAACCGAGCTTGATCTCACATACCGCCGGAGATTCTCTGACTTGAAGATTCCCGAGGCATACGAGTCTTTAATCCTCGACGCGCTTAAAGGTGACCACTCGAATTTCGTCCGTGATGATGAGTTGGATGCAAGCTGGAGAATTTTCACACCCCTTCTTCATTATTTGGACGACAATGAGGATATCATACCAATGGAGTACCCCTATGGTAAGTATCTCGCTGATAGCTACTTGAATACGCGCTGACTTGTCCTAGGCTCGCGTGGTCCTGCCGTACTTGATGATTTCACCGCATCGTTTGGGTACAAATTCAGTGATGCCGCCGGTTACCAGTGGCCCCTTACAACTGCGCCCAACCGTCTCTAAGGTAGCTTATGAGCTGCATTCAAAATTTCCACCATATTCCCTTTTTCCTTTAGATAAATAAATTTCACGCTGATGTATGAATTGGGAAGAAACCAAAGAAAAGAAAACTGGTCATGGTCTGGGTTCAACTTTCTCCTCTTTACACATGAATGGAAAACGCTTCGGCCGTTTCCCATCCTCCTTCTACCTCTTTTTTTTTTTAGCTTTTGAGCATGATGGATGCAGCTTGTTCTAATTTCTGGGTTTATCATTCGTGCTTTTTTTCTCAAATGAAATACACGCATTGATCTCCATCTGTCTGAGGACTCCTTTTCTCAACGGTCCCTGGCCATAGATTTGTCAGTCATCACTTGTAGTCAGTGAGCCTCGGCAAATATGAAAGAGCATTGTTTCCACGTTCCGTCAAGGTCAAGAGAAGTGAATCACAAGTTGAACCAGTTTCTGGAATTAGCGTGCCAAATGGTTAAACCCGCTGGTGATAAGCATCCCGGGGAAGAGAGCTCAGACGGCATGGCACCCCGGCAAAAGGCCAAGCTATGTAACTAACTAGCTCGCCCCGTTAACGGATTTTGTAGTTACTAAAATAGTTTTGCGGAGGAAACAAGGGGAGCTTCCCCCGGATTTTTTTGCTGAGATTCAGAAGAGCTTGATTCCATAAAGGCTGCGTCGAATTGAACGACGATTGTAGTTATGTATTTCGACTCTTTCTCCCAGGATCCCGCGAGCTTCAAAGCTTGAGTCCCGGAACCGGGTTCCTGTCCCCATGTTAGTTAGTGCGTAAGAGGAAGCTTGGGCCTAGAGACGCCAAGGGGGAAACAAACGCCAGCCGTCTTTTTTGCTCTTCATATCATTCCATCTCGACATGCGCAATCGCTCTTTTGTTCCCTCGTTAACTATTGCATCTCTTAAAACTATTCAAGACGATAGTTCCGTATGCCGCACCACAAGCCCTCCTTTCGTCCCACGTCATCAAACCGGCAACACTGAGCAAAATCGCAACGGCCGCGCGGAGTATTTAATCGATTGAATCCCTGAATCTCGGGTGGCCGCCGCGCTTCCTTGGTCCTTGTGGCCCCAAAGGTCGTATGCCATGCGGCAGGGAGCGTCATGGATGGGAACGCCGTCCATCAAGGGGCGGACAGAGTCCCAGCGCATGGCGCTGTTGACTTTTAGCTTAGTTGGACTACAGTATGCTTCCTCCTCCATTTTCTCCATCGCTATGATACCCTTTTGAAAAGCGGTCTCTTATCTGCATTCGGGTTGATTCAGACGTATGCTGATTGTCGTGGTTCTCATATGATGTTCTCGCCTAAAGGTTTACCTGGGGAATTGAAATGACCTGTAATAATTGCCCATATGCCCTCTTATTAGTTACCCCCGTCTCCGCGCTCAAAGAACCGCTATTTCTGCGGCGAAAACTTGATGGCTTACAATTATCCTGATACCCACCATGACTAGATTGCACGCCATATCTCCTTCAGCTGGGATTGACGAAATCGCGCACGTCTCTAGTATGGATCGCCGGCCCATTGTCGGGGCTCATCATGCAGCCGTTGGTTGGAGTGATAGCTGATCGTTCAACGTCGAAATGGGGCCGTCGACGGCCATTCATGATAGTCGGGTCGTTGGTAGTTGGATTCTGCTTGTTTGTGCTAGGATGGACGACGGAGATTGTTTCGCTCTTTATAAGTGATCCGCAAACGGTACGTTTTGAAAATGTTTACGCTGGGGGATTCGACTATACGATCCCTGAACTCTTTATGCGATGGTATCAGACGGATACTAATATACCGCCAGCGGAAATCAGTGACGATAGCCGTGGCCGTCTTGAGCATATATGCCGTTGATTTCGCCATAAACGTAGGTATGTGTATCTATTTCTATATCAAACTACGATATTCTTTCTACCGTAAATGCCGATTGCTCACTCCGTTGAACAGTGCAGGCATGTTGCCGAAGTTTAATAGTCGATACCCTCCCTATTCCTCAACAACAGTTAGGTTCTGCATGGGGTAAGTGACCATGCCGGCTTTCTGAGGAGTGAAAACCCTTGTGCTAAGTGGTTCTGTAGCGGGCAGGATGACAGCTGTGGGAAGCCTTATCGGTTACGCGATTGGGTCGATAGACATGTTGAATAGCTTTGGAACGGCCCCTGGGAAATACGCAATTCAAGCAGATGACAGTCATCGCGGCGTTGTCGCTCATCGGAGCAGTATCTGTCACTTCATATGCTGTGAAGGAGAGGGTCCTGATATCAGTCAGGTCCGTAAACTCCTCCTCTCGATGTCTTGTGTCTTCACTTTACTAAACTATGGCCTAAATTAGAGATACCGATACTCGAGCCGGTGCGATTAAAATCCTTTCTCAGCTATTTAGGACCACTTTCAACCTGCCACCCCGAATCAAAGCAATATGCTGGGCGCAATTTTGGGCTTGGATTGGTATGTTTCAAGACACTTCACGAGAAGGAATTTTGTTCTAACGTTGCATTAGGATGGTTTCCATTCCTTTTCTATAGTAGCACTTGGGTTGGCGAGACGTATTTTCGCTACGAGGCGTCAGAATCTACCGCCGAACAATCCAAAGACACCCTCGGCGAGGTTGGTCGCTTGGGAAGTTTGTCACTCGTTGTATTCTCCATGATTACATTGCTGAGCTCCGTGATCCTTCCATTCGGAGTCGTTTCACCGGAAAATAAAAGAGGACGGTTCACCCCAAGGCCTCCTCGTGGGGTTGTCCGATTCCTCAAAAGAATTGCGTTTGTTCGACCAGATTTGCAAACGGCATGGATGCTGTCGCACATTATGTTTGCCGCAACCATGATATTCGCCCCTTTGGCAAAGTCTGTCCGTTTTGCAACGTTCCTCGTCGCAATCTGCGGGGTTCCATGGGCTGTTACGAGCTGGGCACCGTTTGCTTTCATGGGAGTTGAAATTAATCGACTAGCGGTACCCGCATCTTCGTCTCGCAATTCGACTGTTACCATGATAACTTCCACCAGAGCGAGCAACCGACACAGTGCCTACCTCCCATTGGAGGCCGATGATGGCAATAACTCAGACCCGGACTTTGATACTGCCAGTGTACTGCGGCTCAATCACCGTAATGATGGGGATAGCGACACTGACGGCGACCTTGAAGACGAGGCTGCATCTACTGGCGAGCTCGCGGGAATCTATCTAGGTGTGCTGAATGTGTACACCACTCTCCCCCAATTTGTGGGTACGTTTATTAGCTGGATCGTTTTCAGCATTTTCGAGCCAAACAGAACGGCCGCACAAGGCGATACGGACTCGAAAACCGGACCCGCCAAGTCAAAGGCCGATCACTGGATGAATCTCAGTGCCGAAGGCCCGAATGGAATTGCGGTGTGTTTGTTTATCGGTGCGATATGCGCAATGATCGCAACTGAGGCGACAAGGAGATTGAAATATGTTCGATAAACCCGGCACTATGAAGATTTGATAAGGCATGTCGATTCTCACGTTCGAACTCGTGCCTATGATGTTGGAACGTGAACAATGGTCGAGACAATTTGGTGTCCAGAGCTATATTGCACAGTTAACTGCCACAGTAGGCTACAAAAATGGCTAGCGTCCATGACTCAATGTTTGGTCTTCATTGGGCAGCTGCGCGCGGATGTGTTCTGCTTCTGGATAAATTTTTAATTGCTGGATCTGCTCTCAAATCTACTTTACAAGTTAGAAGCTAATTTAATTCCCCATTATAACAATGCGTTTGCAATTCAATGGATTCGCACAAACCATGAGGTTACCGGCCCATGGAGGTATAAATATTCAAACACAGGAGAGGAGGATCCGTGGTTAGCCAAGTATAGGCACTTTTGACGCTGACGGGGTCTAAATCATCCCCTCTGCTTTCTAGAAAAGCGCTCACAAAATCACCACCGCGACAATTATCACGTCGGCCTCCTCTTCACAAACTGCTCCAGATCCTCTTTTGTAGCAACCCCAAGCACAAATTTCCGACTCGCATCCGTCACCACCGCAAAGTCCTGCTTCTCCCTCTTCTCGCCCCCGCCCATCTCCCCCTCAAAAAACCTCTCCAACTCCTCCAGCGGCGTGTCCATCGTGATCACCTTGTAGACATGCTGTTTCCTCCTAAATCGCTGCATTGCCTTTTCTACCGGGTCGGATTCCGCCACGGCCCCATTCTGGAGTAGCGATTTTAGGCGCGGAATATTCAAGTAGCCAAGGAGCGAGCGGGAGGTGGATGAGATCACGGTGAGGTGGGTGTAGTCGCGCTCGTAGGCGGCGAGGAGGGCGGACGAGATGGAGTCGTGCGGGGACGTGGAGAGGGCGGGTGGGGGGTCGAGGTCTTCTACTGTGGCCTGGAGGGGAAATTAGCTAGGGGGATTGATATAGCAGGGCCTTGGGCTATAGAAGCACACTGGAAAAGAGATATCTTACACCGCGGTATTTATCTGACCAGGGAGTTTGGGATTGCGAGGATGAGCATGTGGGAGCGCCATTGGTCGGTGATCTCTCGCGCTCGTACGCCTCGCTGGCGGAAATGTAGGATGCCATTCCTGGCGGCGTGAATTTGATAGATCGTGGATTTGGCGTTTTCTTAATGCCCTGCCCCTCTCTCTGGATGGTGAAGAAGGCGGGGTTTGGGAGGGACAAACTATTGGGAATCAAGCGCGGAATGCGTATATAACAGCTTAACGGATGTATAATAACCGAAGCCTATAAACAAGGACAAGGTGCAATGCCAGCATCTCCGGTCAACATCTCCATCTCGGTCTCAAATCGCTGTGTTTCGGGCCTTGATAATGCCAAGACCACTGTATTATATAAGCTAGTACTCTCATTTGGCGCTAGTCCATAGACAGCTTAGCGTAAAACAGCTTGCCAGCGCGGCCAAGTTCAATGACAACTTCCGACTTCAACTTCCTGGCAACCTGCGACTTCAACACATTCCTCGTTGCTGTCGATTTCGCTGAGCTGTTCTCTCGACTGGACCAGCACGGCTTGTGCGATCCACTGGCCTGGTGATTGTTTTGCTGGTTGATTCTGAACTTTCATCCGTACACAATTGACTTCCTCCTCGGGAACTCTCCGCAGCTAGACGTCATCAGTCACTTGAAGTCCATGTCGCTTCAATCCTGATTGATTGAAAAAGAACCCAAGCTAGCCTTTCGGTGTCCGCAGCATACTTGTTCAAGTGAGCTTGTGCTTGTCTCTCTCACATGTTCTGCACCTTGCAGCACCACAATTCCTCTTTTCAAGCCTCATTGCTTCAATGATTTCATATCCATAATATTAATAATCTCCGATTGAATGATATCTAGTTTCCAGAGCAAGCCTCCCAGAATGTCTTCACTATTCCCATCGCAGCAGGCTCTAGCCAGCGCTTTTGCGTCTCGATACGGGCTCCACCAAGAGAGGAAGCCGACAGAGCCTGCGCCTGCACCTAAGCAAAGACGCCTCTTCCCAGCCTGGAGTGCTATAGATGATGTTAAGCACAAGGCCGAAGCCGTAGGCCATGCTGCGGCTCAAGAATTTGACAAGGCTAGCACGCAAGGCCCAATCAAAGACTGGCAAAATCGAGTTGTA